CTATATTTTTTAAAAATCTGGAATTCTGGCTTCTCTTGAAAAATTAAATTCTGGCAATCCTGCAGACCAGGAGCTGCTGAAACCAAGTTGCAGCTGCCCCCTTTAAGCATATGCTCTGTTTTGCCACAGGCCCTACCACTCCCTGTTGCATGTTAACCTATTTGGCCCCTGTAGGCCTTTAAGTTTGAGACCCCTGGTCCACACACTTGGGAACCATCTGTGTTGACCCTGGTCTGGGTCCTAGTTTCTTTCTACCTTCCTGTCCCCAAAGCTGCTCTCTTGGTCATGCCCATGGGACCCAACTCATAGTAAGTATGGGCTGGAGGACAGCATGAACTTTTCACTGGGTTCTCTCCAGGGGTAAAGGCATTTGCTGCCTTCCAAGGTCAATGGGAGGTTATTAACTCTGTTGATTATGCTCCGGACAAAAAAGACGGGGAGGGAGACCTTCAACCTTACAGGTCATCTCGTTCTGGGAGAGAACTACACTGGGTGGTGTTTGTTGTTGTTGTTGTTACTGTTGCTGTTGTCGTTGTTTTGCTTCCTGGAGGTGTTAGTCAAGACCAGTTCTTGCTACACATCTAACATCACTTCCAGAAGAACTACTAGAGGATGAGATACCAGGTGAATTGAGCCCTGAGTGAATTCTCAGCAGCTGTGGGGCATTGGAAGGAACATTGTGTTAGGGGCAGGACCGGGACTAGGGTGAGGCGAAGGAGTCACTTGCCTTGGGTACAAAATTAAAGAAACCATCCTTGCTGTATATTGGGCTGTATAAGGGTGCTTACATTGTGGATGGGGAAATGGTCCTCAAGTCGTGGTTCTGAAAACCCTAGTGTGCATCAGGATCATCTGAGGAGCTTGTTAAAATGCAGGTCCCTGGGCCCCAACCTCACAGAGCTGAGCAGGCCTGGGGGTCAGGAAACTGCTTCTGTATCCTGCTTGCCTTGTCATTCTGATGCTGATCTAAATGCCCCTGAGCTGAGACAGAACTTCTGAGATAAAGGTGTTCGTTCACACAGAGGGCAGCAGGTGAGGTGGAGGCAGCCTGTGTTTGGAATTCAGTCAGGTGATGGAAGATGGGACAAGTCTACTCCCAGCTTTGGAAAGAGGGATTTGAAAGACGAACCTCTGCAAATGCCCATGGTCAGGGCAACAGCTGGGTGACCATGCCATGTCCCTCCTCTTGCTTTGGCAAGCAGTTACAGCTCTAGCTTAGCACTTAGCCCCTTTTTTCTGCTGTCAGTTCCTTCCTGCCCTGGCTGATGGAAGTGGAGTCAGACTTGGAAACAGAAACCAAGCTAAATCATCACATATGATATCTTCCCCAGGCAGATAACAGCTTAAATTTTCACCCCATCAAACCTGAAAGCTCTCTCTGGCTGTATTCCTTTAAGAGATAGGGACATCATTACTCAGTCCTCTACCTGGCCCCTTACAGGGACCTTCTCAGTAAAAGATGCAGTCAGTGAAGCCCTCGGCTCTACAAGGGACTCCTACCCTTAGCCCTCACTCCTTGGAAAGCTCCCCTTGGCCCAACACTGGTGCCCGCTCTAACCTGGTTCCTTCCTACAGTAAGAGTTGACATTGTCCTGAAGCAGAAAGAGCACCAATCTGGGAGTCAGGTATCCTGTCCTGATCTCAGGTCAGCCACTGATTTGCTCTGTGACCCTGAAGTAGTCCCCTCTTTGGGCCTTTGTTATCCCTTTGTAAAATGAAAAGACAAGATCAGAGCTTCTTAAACTTGAGTGTAGTCAGCAAAAACAGTGGAGTAGGGACCTCCAAAATGTACCTCCTACACAAAAGCAACAAATAAGATGGCAAGAACTGTGAGAATCAACTTTATCCAAACTCTGAAAACTAATGGAAAGTCTGCAGCAACCAGACAAACGCCTGAGAAAAAAAGTCTCAGTGAGAGGGTTTTGTCAGAAACCATGCAGGACAGAAGGCAGTGGGATGACCTATTCATTGTGCTGAAAGAAAAAAAAATGTCAACCAAGAATCCTACATCTGGCAAAATATTCTTTAAAGATGAAGGAGACATGAAGACATTCCTGGATAAACAAAAATGGAGATGGTTTGCTGCTAGTAGACCTGCCTTATAAGAAACACTAAAAGTCCTTCAAGCTGAAATGAAAGATACCGAGCAGGAACTCAAATCCACATGAAGAAAGAAAAGACGTTGGTAAAGGTAACTGCTTAGGTAAACATAAACATTACTATTAATATAGATTTGTAGCTCTTTTTTTTTTCCTGTATGATTTGAAGACGACACCAAACAACATTGTTTTGAAAGCTCTAGCCAAAGCAATTAGGCAAGAAAAGGAAAAAGCATACAAATTAGAAATAAGTAAAACTTTCTATTCACAGATGACATGATCTTATGTAGAAAATTATAAATCATATCTACACTAAAACTAGTAGAGCTAATAAATGAATTGGGCAGAGTTGCAGGATATAGGATATATGATCAAAATACAAAAAGCAGCTGTGTTTCTATATAGTAGCAGTGAACAATCTGAAAATGAAATTGAGATCCTATTTATAGGGTACCTGGGTCCTCAGTGGGTTAAGCATCTGCCTTCGGCTCAGGTCAGGATCTCAGGGTCCTGGAATCGAGCCCCGCATCAGGTTCCCTGCTCAGTGGGGAGTCTGCTTCTCCTCCCCCTCCCCCCCTTGCCCCTGCTTGTGCTCTCTTTCTTTCTCAAATGAGTAAAATTTCTTTTTAAAAAGGTCCTATTTATAATAATATCAAAAAGAACAAAATATTTAAGGATAAATTTAAGTTAGTGTAAGACTTGTACACTGAAAAAAAATACAAAACATCCTGTGCTCATGGATTAGAAGACTTAGTATTGTTGACATGGCATATAGTCTGCAAATTGATCTACAGATTCAATCTAATCCCTATAAAAATTCCAGCTACCTTTTTGCAGACTTGGACAAGCTGATTCTAAAATGCATATGGAATTGCAAGGGCCTGGTCCCAAACAGACAAAAAAAGTGTTGGAAAAAGTCAGGGATCTCACACTTCTTAATTTCAAAAACTTAAGCTACAATATAAAGCTACAGTAATTCAAATAATGTGATACTGGCATAAAGATAGACACATGGATGGGACAGAATTGAGAAACCTAAACATCTGTGCTTAATTGATTTTTGACAAGGGTGCCAGAACCATTTGATGGGGAAGGAATATTCTCTTCAACAAATAATGCAGGAACAACTGAATATGCACAAGCATAAGAATGAAGTTGGATCCCCACCTCACACCATATACAAAAGGTAATTCAAAATAGATCAGAGAACTAAATGAAACAGCTAATGCTATAAAAATCTTAGAAGAAAACAGGAATAAATATTCATGACCTTGGATTTGGCAATGGATTCTTAGATATGACACCAAAAGCATAAGCAACAACAAAAAAATAGATAAATTGGGCTTCATCAAAATTAAAACTATTGTATTTCAAGGTACAAGAAAGTAAAAAGACAACCTACAGAATGGGAGAAAATATTTGTAAATCGTATATCTGATAAAAGCCTAGTATCCACAATACATATAGAACTCTTACCACTCAACAACAGAAAGACAACACAATTTTAAAAATGGGCAAAGGAGGGATGCCTGGGTGGCTCAGTCGGTTAAGCGTCTGCCATTGGCTCAGGTCATGATCCCAGAGTTCTGGGATGGAGTCCCACATCGGGCTCCTTGCTCAGTGGGAGCCTGCTTCTTCCTCTCCCCTCCCCCCTGCTCATGCGCGCTCTCTCTCTCTCTGATAAATAAAATCTTTAAAAAAAAAAAATGGGCAAAGGACTTGAATAGACCTTTCTCCAAAAAAGACAAATGGCCAAGAAACACAAGATGCTCATCATCATCAGGCAAATGCAACTTAAAACCACAATGAGTTACCACTTCACACCTAGTATGATGGCTATAATCAGAAAGACAGATGGTGAAGATGTGGAAAAACTAAAACCCTTACGTACACAGTGTTAGCGGGAGTGTAAAATGGTATAGCGCTGTGCAAACACAGTTTGATGGTTCTTTAGAAACTTAAACGTAGAATCACTATTTGACTCAGCAATTCCATCCCTAGTTAGAGACCCAAGAGAAATGAAAACATGTTTACACAAAAACTTGTACCTAAATATTCATAGCATTTATAGCATTATTCATAATAGCCAGAAAGTGCAAACAATCCAAATGTCCATCAGTTGATGCATGAGTAAAATGTGGCATATCCATCCAATAGAATATTACTCGGCTATAAAAGGGAATGAAGTACTGATACAGTCTACAATATGGATGAAACCTGAAAACATTGTGCTCAGTGGGAAAAAAATTTGACACAAAGGCTACGTATTGAATGATTCCATTTATATGAAATGTCCAGAATAGGCGAGTCCATAGAGATAGAAATATTAGTGGTTTCCAAGGGGTGGTGGGAGGGGAATGGGAAGTGACTGCTTATAGGTACAGGGTTTCTTTGGGGGGGTGATGAAAATGTTCTGGAATTAGCGTACAACTATGTGAAGCCACTGAATTTGTGCAGTTTAAAATGATTAAAATTCTGAAATTTATGTTGTGTGAATTTTACCTCAATAGAATACTTTTAAAAACTGCACACAAATTTGCACACATATCCCCTGGGGGATCTCACCGAAATGTAGATTCTGATGCGGGATCTCTGGGTTGGGCCCCAAATTCTGGATTCCTGCCAGGCTCCCAGGTGACGCTACTGCTGCTCATCTGTGGCCACATTTTGAGTGGGGAGGCTACTCTGAGGGCCCTTGCGCTGTGTCACCTTAACCTGGGCCTCAGGTGCCTCAGCTCTGAGCCCACTCCCGCCCTGTCTGCCCCCATAAATAGGGAGGGCAGCCCCACAGGCCGCCTGAGGTCTCCCCATCTGCGCCCGCAGGAGGACCTGGGCCTCAGGGCCTGGGAGTAGATGGAGAAGGGGCTGTGGCTAGAGGGGTCACTGCCAGCAGACACGGGGGGCCAGGGGAGCAGCTTTTATTTTGCACCAAGCTGAGGAAGGCAGGCCCGGAGGCACAGCTGTGTCCTCGGAGGAGAGCTGTCCCACAGGTGGGTCACTTCCAGGTGCTGGGCAGCTCAGGCTCCGGGGCTCCAAAGCGATCTGAAAGAGAGGGGGCAGCTCGGGAGTGCTGCACGCCCCTCCCCGAGCCCGGAACTCCTATGCCAGGGAACACGGCACGGGGAGGGCGCAGGGGGCAACCCCCTCCGACGCCCCATCAGAGGGCTCTGTGGTGGCGCAGGACGGGTTCCCTGCAAGGGACCCGGGAGGAGCCCCAGAGCTCTGAGGCGGGCACACGGCCAGAGGAGGCGGCGGCTCTGCGTCCCGGCCAGTGCTAGGCCAGACCCACGGGAACTGCACCAGCCCTTCCAGAAGCCCTGACCAGATGCCGGGCTGCAGCGCCCCCAGGCGGGGGTGGGGGCACAGAACTCGCTGGGTGAGCTGGGGGATGCCTCCCCACTCGGCCCCTGGAGGAGCCGAGGCCTCTCCCGCTTGTCCAGGCCACACCTGTGCGGTGGTGGGCAGCCATCCCCAGCCCGAGCTGTCCCCTCCGCTGCGTGAGCCGCTCACCGTCTCCGAGGAGGTCGGGGGCGGGGACCCAGGGCCCGGGGGGAAGGTTCCAGGCCAGTTCCTCCAGCTGAGCCAGCAAGCCTTTCACTTCTGCCTCCAGGTGCTCCACTGTCTTCTCCACCGTCTAGAACAAGAGAGACGGGAGCGGGGCGTGGGGGGAGCGAGGGACAGGAGGAGTAGGGCACGAGAGTGGTGCCATGTCTTGCTTCAAGAGCCACATCCTAAGGGACACCTGGCAGCCCAGTGGGCGCAGCAGGGAGAGAACTGAGTGCCAGTTCTGAATTTGTGCGGCCTCTCAGGTCCCCAGATGACAGAATCCGAGGGCTTCACTCTCTAAGGCCGCTCCTGGCTCTGGCACGAAGCGACGCACTCCCTCAGTCACACAGTCAGGCGCGGAGCAACCCTGGGATTCCTTTGTCCCTTTCCGGACTTCACTGGGAGCCCACATTCTTTTTGTCGCCCCGCCCCCTGGTGGCCACTCTGCCAAATGACAGGTTTGGGATTTTGAAACGTTCTTTAGTCCGCGTCCGCGTTCCTATCTTCTTCCTGAATGAACCCCTTTAGCAGTCTGGTGAAACCTACAGACCCCTTCTCAGAAACACACTTTAACCAAAAAAAAATTAAGCATATAGGATTTCCACGGACCCCAACTGCGTTAAAACCTTATTCAAGTACTAAATATTAAATCTTTGATGTAAAAATGTATGTATTAATTAACTCATTAAATAACATGATCTAACATCAGGTCTAACAACTACTGTAATTTTGACATGCTGATTAGGATGAATGATACGTTGATATATTCACAACCACTATAATGGGATGAAATTATCTGTGATTTCTACTGAGAACAAAGTCACAGTACTGGTAATACTACATGGTTTGTTGTCTACTTATAATGAATGGGAATGCTAAATTTCAGTTAAAGGTTTGTGAAAGTAAAGTGTAAATCTTTACAGACCCCAGTGTTACAAACCATGGCTGTGTAACAAAACCCAGTGACTGAATGTCCACTGTCTCGGTGTGTAATGACGTGGAGATCTCGAGCTGGATGGAAGCAAGGTCCCTGCAGAGGCAGAGTCTGTTGAGGGCTGGTGAGCTTTACAGCCCTGGCAGGGCAGGGACATGTTTCACACGGTGGCCAGGGAGCAGGATTGGCCTGGATTTCCTCCCATTTTCCAAAGCAAGCTTCTCCTGAGCCCTAGAAAGCTACCAGCCTGGCAGGTGGTCCTGAAACTGCGTGTCCTCCCAAGTCACCCTGATTACCTCCTCTATGACGTCTAAACGGTTGTGGACAGCCATGTGTCTGTCACACCCTGCGTTCCAGGCCGGGTCTCCACGGGAGGGCACAAAGGGCTCAGCAGCTGTGGGAAAACAAGCCTTGTCACCATTTCCTATACACTAGAGACCCCTGCAAAGCACTGGGCTCCACGAGGTGGGTCCTGAAAACAGTCACAAAGAGAAGGAAAGGGAGGCTGAGTGTGGGTCAGGGTGTGAGGATGGGGCTGCCCCAGTCACTCACTTGTCTCTATATGGCCCCGGTCACCTCCATAGCCAGGTGGGCTTCTTCAAGGAGGTGCTGCCTGAACTCTGTAAGGTAAGGAAGGGGGGAAGTGTTCCCGCCGGACAGAATGGCATGTGCAAAGAGGGAAAGGCATAAAATGGCATGGTTCTGTGCCCAAACCCTCAGGGGGGTTGGGGTGGCTGGAAAGTACAGGGCGGACGGGAAGAGAGTGAGCATGGACACAAAGCCGGCTGCCCCAATAAACAAACCTTATTTGGGGGTTTATTTCAACAGAAGAGTCACATGGTCATATACGAATTCTTTTACATACAGAGAATGGATTGGAGGGATTTGTCTGTGAAGGCAGGGAGTTATTGCAGTAGTCAGTGTAAGAAGTTATGAGGCAAGGCAGTGCAGTAGGAGTAGTGGATGGAGGAGGAGGAGATATTTTAGCCATCGCATTGACGTTGGTGACTAGTTAGTAATATCAGACATTGGATGAGTAGTTACTGTGTACCACATAGTACGCTAAACACATGTGTGAACTCAATCAACCTTTACAACCACCTATTTAAGATCCCCAGTTGATGCACAGAGGGATGAAATGCTATGTCCAGCGTCACACAGTGAGTAAGTGGAAAGCCTGAGGTTCATCCTGTTCAGCTCTTGGTTCAACACTTTTCTCCCCAACATTGGTTCCTCCTTGGTTCTTCTGGCACCAACCAGTCCTCACACCAGAAGTCTCAGGGCCCTGGTTCTGAGCTCAGGTTTCAGTGTTGGCGGCCCCGAGACGCCTATAGGGCATCAGAGTTGGCTGGAACCTTGGAGAACCCTGACGCTCAGGAAGAAGGCTACTGCCCCCAAAACGAAGCGAAGCAAAGAGCTTCACTGAGGATGAGGCGGTCAGCATGGGCTAAAGCAGCAGGGAAGTCTAGCGAGATAAGGATGGAAAGACAGAGCAATGAGAAAGTCATTGCTAAATCCCACCCCACCATTGTTCGCGGAGTAGTGAAGGCAAAGCAGAGTCTAGATGCCGTGAGACGAGAGGGAAAGAGAGGTCCAAAGGTAGAAACCGGGATCCTGGGAAGCTTGGCTGTGAAGGAAGGGAGATCAGATCACATTGTCTACAGAATGTTTCTTGTTGTTGTTTCTGTTCTTTGAAGAAACAACCACACTGACGGCCTGAAGGACAGTAGAGCTGAGGAGAGGACAGGCTGGGAACCCAGCAGTGTGTGGGGGGCAGAAGCAGTGCTTGAAGGAGCGGGAGGGGGGCAGCAGAATTGGTAAAGGCAGACCTCTCCTCAGAGGGCCAAGAAGTGGAGTGAGTTCTCACCTGCTGGCCTCTCTTCACTCTGTAAAGGAAGAGGGGAATCATTGGCTGGAAATGCATGTTGGCTTACGAAAGAGGAAGCTAGTTGCGAAGCTTTCAGGAATTCTGTGTGTGGAGCTATTAAACACAGCCATGAAAATGGGAGGCACGGTGAGAGTATTTACATCATGGAAACCAGCAAATGACTTGTTTTTGTCTTCATCTTTGTTTTTGCGAGCCACTTTATCAACAGACCACTGGGGAGGGACCTCGAATACAGAGAGGGCTTCAAAAGGAGGTGAAGAGAAGGACCCCACACCAGGGGGAACGCTGGAAGCCAGTCCCCCAGCGAGCCGCCGAGCAGGCTGGGTACAGAGTGGCCAGGACAGGGGGCTGGATGGAGTGGAAGCTGGGGGTTTGACAGTGTGGGGGAGAGCAAGGGAGCAAAGGATTGATGATTTGACCAGCATGGAGTTAAGGGGATGAGCTCTGGAGTCTAGCTTGGATAAGGAAGGAAAGGGGGCCAGTAAGAGGGCCAATAAACTGGGAGAAATGGAGGGGCTGACAGGACTGGAGGTCTTGGTAAGATGATGGAGTAACAGAAGGAATGAATGGTGACAGACATTGCAGTTTCAGCTCTGAGAGGTGGAGCAGCTTCCTAGTGACAATATCAAGGTTGTGGTCATGGATGTGGGCATCTGAGGCAGAGTGGGGGCAAGAATTATTGGACTTGATCTATCTAGGTGCAAAACTGTTGTAACTCTAAGACCCTGGTGTTGGCTGGGTTGCCCAAGGGGACATACAGAATCACCCAGAAGGCTGGCAGATCTTGAGGTAAGGACAGAGATGGCGAGCCATTTTGCTGGTGATGAACGCATAACTCTGGGAGGTTGAATGACCTGCCCAAGGTCACATGGTCAGCAAATGACTGGACCCCAATCACCCTGGCCCTCTCTTGACCCCACCTCAGCAAGTTGGCCTTCCAGAGCTCTGCCAGAACCTCCCACACACACACACAATCCTGAGATATTCCTGTTCCAACTCTATCTGGGTCCCAACTCTTCGATGTAGGGATGAGAACCAAGAGCAGAGACAAAACTTCCTTCCACTATGAGCATCTTTTATGGAGAGCAATTTGTTTCTATATTCTCCTTTTCATTATTTCCCTCCACTGAACTTCGAAAAGCCTCTTCAAAAGACAATGGTCTTGTTGACTTTGGGGAGGGGGCAGACATGACAGTGGTACTTTGGTTATTTTTTCCATCTATGTGTGGCTGGAATGAGTACTGGTTGTTTTTAAAAGGGAGTCTTTTAGAGATCCATACTGAAATACCTAGAGATGAAATGCTAGGATGTCTTGGGTTCACATCAAAGTAATCCAGGCCCGGGAGTGGGAGGAGACATGGGTAGCCAAACAGGATTGGCCAAGATGGATAATTGTTGAAACTGAGTGATGGGGACATGCGAGTTCATTCCACTCCTCTCTCTACTCTTGTATATATGATTTGAAATGTTCCATAATAAAAGCCAGTTGTCTGATGGGGTTGTTAGCAAAAAGCAGAAGCCATCGTGGGCCGCATGCGTGGATGGGAAATGTTCAGGATGAGGGCGGGGGCGGCCTGAGGGACCCCACCTGGAGGGCTGTGCTCCATTCTGGGCCTTTGAGAGACAGAAGCAGGGCTAGAGGCAGCTGTGGTGAAGGGACTCGGAAGCTTGACTTGTTTGTCTCAGCTGAAAGAACCGGGGAGTCCAGCTGAGAAAGGAAGGACTCCCTGGGGGCAAGAAGAGCTGCTCTCACCCACAGGGAGGGCTGTCCGTGAAAAGGGGGTCTGCCCAGTGGGGGTGTGGGTCCACACACACCCCTCTGGCCCAGGCTCTCCCCGGAGCCACGCCTGCCCTCTCCCAGACCCAGCCTGGGCGGGAGGAAGTAGTCTGACCTGGCTGGCCAAGGGTGAGGCTCTGCCAGCCCTGTAAGTCATGAACAACATGAGTCTACTCCCCTCCGCGGGCCTAAAACATCCTGTTTTCGACATGTCTGCAATGAGGTCTAACTTGGCTCCAAAACCCCTCCAGGGAAAAGGACTGGCTGAGGTTGCTCTCCGCATCGCACAGCGCGAATCCCTCACATCTGGACAGGACTGCGTCCTGGGCTCCGCAGCACCAGTGTCCGTGAGCTCATCCGAGGGAGGAAGCCGGGGCGGGGCCCTCACTCTGAGCCCGCACTGCTGCTCCCTCAGCCAGCCGGGCCCTCACCCCTGCACTGACCTCTCCACGCAAAGGGCCGGAAACACCCAGGAGACCCCCGTTGTCGCCTTGCCTGGCCACGAATCGCCGTGGGCCTGTGGGAAACTTTCCTCTCCTCGCTGAGCCTCTGCCGCCCCCTTGCTAACACGGGGTGGGGAGGCCTGATGCACTGCCCCCCCAGGTAGTCCATGCGGGATGCCGGTCTGTCTTGCTGAGTTGCTTCTTGGACCAGAAGCGCCCACAAGGCACGAGCTGGCTGTCTTCCATGTCTTTGAGCTCCTCCGTGGGAAGGGGCTCAGGGTGATGCCTGCTTCACGGGGTTGTTGGGGTGCTCACGAGTGGGGAAAGCTGCAGCGTGGCCGTGAGCGTGCTTGAGGAGCCAAGGCTGTGGTTCTCCATGTTCCCTTCCTTCCTGTGCTCCCGCCCTTCCCCGGCCAGTTGGGAAATGGACCTTCTTGGAGGCCGGGTTGTTTTCCCTGGCCCAGCTCCCACTCAGGGCCTATGTGCACCCTGGATGGCGGCCATGGGTGGAACACAGTGCTCTGGTGAGAGCAGCCTGCGGTGGAGGCCGGAGGCCCCGCGGAGGTGCTGGGCTCACTTCTCCAGTTAAAGAGACATGGCCACCGGGTCCCCATCCTCTGAGGCGGGAAGTACGGCCTCTCCCCCATAAAGGCATAGGAGACCTTTTGTATCTGGGGCTTAAACACTAAGAAAGCACGTACAAGTCAAGTGATTTCTGTGACAACACGTAATTTCTCAGAGGCGACCCTGAAAATTGCCGTGACTTCTGAATCATCGAAGACACTCCACTTTGACCAGTGATGTTTGTCACTTAAGGGTTAACTGTATTTGACCACATACAATATAACAGAATAATAAAATTTACCACATACAATATTTGTATTAAAATTTGTGATTCATTTAAAACCATCAGTGGTTTTTAAACTTATTTTTTAAAGCAGAATACTATTTTCAATTACATGAAGACCTCCAATAATGTGGAACTGCTCTGCTAAACCAAGAGAGAGAACCTTGAGCCCCTCAAGAAAGAGCTCAGATTCTGAAGCACGTCTTGGTTTTGTTTTGGGAGAGACACATCCTCCTGTCTTCCTTGGATCTGAGTCTTGCTGATCACTCTGAGAGCACATCAATGTCATTCCAGTACATTCAGTATCTGATTGTGGTAGGTAAGCTGGGCTACTATCGCAAAGGGCCCCCTCAACTTTGCACGCGTTTATTTTTTTTCTCATGTATGAGTTCAGAGGTAGACTGCAAAAGCCCACAAGGTGGAGGAGGTCTAAGAAGCC